AATGCCTAAAGGTTTTCGAAACAATGGTTTGCTGATCAGCTTAGAAAGCTGACGAGCTTCGTCAGGGACACTCGTTCGACACGACAACTGTTAGCGGTTGAACAGAGACTTCACTTAAAGGGAATTTTGGTTTCATGCGTGTGCACATCGTCAAGTACTGAGGTATCTATCTGAAAGATCGTTCAGATTGGACTGTCTTCTTTACTTCGGGGTTCACCGAATACACAAGAGAATATTTTATTCGCACAGGTTCAGACTGTCATTACTACTTTCAGCTGCTGCCGCAAGATAGTTCACCATATGTTATTCCGGTAAAAGGATTGTTCCAATCTTGCGTCGAGCTGTCATGCTGATTTATCGGATCAGCAAACTGTTGACCGAACGGCAGCAGCCATCATCATTGGACCCATGCCACCACAGTTGATTCTATCGCCACAGACGGTCTTTAGCCATCAGTTGCGTATAAAATTCCGCAAAGCCGTCTCGACTCAACCCGCACTGGAAGCGCGATCGACCTTATCCGAAACCCCACATGAGTCTGACCGTTTTTTGTCTCTGACGGTCGGAAAGCTTTAAAAGCGGGAGACATTTGCTGTAATTAATATCCCCAAGTCGCGATATTCAGGTCGATGACGATGTTTGGTTTTTCGTTTTTTGTTATACTGTTTTTCATCTAACAAATACCACCTTATGTAGGTAACAGCTGCGTTGCTCATGCTAATGAACTGTCTGCTTATTGTTCTTCTGTCATGCAGATCGACTGAATGACGTTGATTCACCAACACTGTATAAAAGGCTACCCGTATGCACTAGAGGCAGTGAGTACCTAAATGTCTGTGCGATTGTGAAAAAGAAGTCCGTACAGTCGTGCGGTTCACCGAAGAATGTCAACACCGAACGTACACATTAACAGTTGAACTATATGAGGGTTCTCGTCGATCATCATGTGATTCTTGACGATGACTCTGTTGCATGTGAGTTTCATTCCGGGTGCTGTAATTGGCACGCTCTAACTCTAACTTTCGCGAGCGGACCCTTTTGTGTCGGGAAATGGCCAATGCCGTCGCGTTTCTCATTGCAAACGGTTCCTTCGAGGTCATCGATGTCGATGCTCCAATCTGCTTGCAGAATCATGACTGAGTCGTCCAGCCTTCGCGAGGAGACTCTCCTAAACTCATTTATTTTCTCATTTATTTTTAGGATCTGCTGCTTTTTTTAAGCGATGCTGATTTATTGGTTGGGTTCGCGCTAGTTTTTCCCATTATGTGATGCTTAACTAAGAAATTATGATTTCTGCCCAGAATTTTCCTTTGCTTCAGTTTGACGTTGATTTTTCAACAGTCGTACTCTGCTGCTATGCGGCATGGCATGGTCTTTCTCCTCCACGTACCATGCAGGGTGCTTTGCGGTTTTACCTCTTCGAGTAAAAAAATAGGTTTTTTACTAGCAGAGAGGCATTTTACTTCCTACTTTATACAACTTGCTGATTGAGCTGTTTACGTGTCTACCTCTACGGTTGAAGTATGTACCGGACTTTTCTCTTGACGATTATGTTCGGTCGATGCCCCTGCCCCAAATAGGCAGCATTTACTACGACGGTGCAGCAGGACTATGGAAGGAGCTTAATTAGCACTGTAAAATTATGGAAGCAGTTTATAATCAGTCAGCTTCAACTTCGTAACCGCTGCTGGCCGATTCTTAAAGCCGTTAGTGGTTCGACGTCGACGTCAAGAACCATATATTTGTGATGTAGGCATGCGTTTGGTTGTGCTGTATAATGCGCTTGATTATGATCCGAGTGATCTGCCGGTTCGTATCATCCCAAGAGGTATTGTACGATCACCGCCTGCCTAACGGCGAGAGTCACTGCCGGTGGCATCGGTTCGTAGCTTGGTCGAACTTCGTAGCAAGACGACGTCGTGACGGGGTGCTGAATCTGTGACAGTCAGGCTCTAACTTGTACGGCCTGGTTCCGTGGTTCATTTCGATAATACGGCGTCTCGTCACTTCAAATGTCATCGCTGACGATGCTAAGGGCATTTTTCTTAGCAACGTACATCGTAGTTTTAGACGCTATACTCTCTGGGCTTATTTTTGTCTCAGTCCGACGAACGTCAACAACTTGTATAAGTCGTTGGAATGCGACGGTTATAGGCACAGCCGCGGGAAGTATGTTAACGTCTTTATTTTTCTAATGTTCCTTTCGCTCAATCAACTTTACTCATCCTCAGTCATACAGCGTTCATCAGGTTGGGCCGAATTTACACGTAGCGATATGTCAGCCTTGTTACCAATCATCTGGGCATCATATCTCCGTGTTGGTGAATTGGAAACGTTCGATGGGCTACACTAAAAG